TTACTCCGTTTAAAACTGATCAATATAGAAGGGTCACGACGCGTGTGACCGGTTGAGAGGGGATGAATACTATTCCTGGGCGACTTATTCCACCTCTGGAGTCCATGTTTTTGCCTTTTCTTATTTTGCATTCTTTATAGATTTTATGTCATTGATCATTGTTCATTATATCTTCACCTCTTTCATTTTTTTTTCTAAAATCTGAGTAACGTACAATGTTAATCGTTCATACTTCTTGTTATATAATTTATTCACGGTGTTAATGCTACACCAATTTCGTGCATGGGTATAGGTTATCGTGAAAGCTCATGATCATCATAAAATTTCTTTATTTATATATATCTAATGAACACGCGAATCCAGATAGCAAAAGGGTGAAGTGCAAATTTATGCAATTTTCTCGAAATAATGTAATTGCTGTGGGCTGCGAATGTCTTTTAATCGGGGGAAATTACGTGCTTGACACAAAGTTAACACTTTAAAATTCGCTATGAATTCTGTTCTGTTTTATATCGCCAGCACATATGCTGAAGTTAACTACACCTTTAATCAGCGTTATTTCATGCATAGGCTGCAAAGGCCAAATATATTAAGGGTTTAATGTTTTGAATAATATTTTGGGCGTTTTGCTTTTGACAAGATTTAGATTTTACGAGTGCTGAAAACACGTGTGATTACGAAACTGATATTGGTAAAGCATCTTGAAGATTTTTTTTCCGACGCAAGGAGTATGAGCTTGCAAGGTCTTACTTTATTGACTCGTATTTGAAGTCACTCTCCGTCATCTCGATTGATTGATTGATTGTTTTTTGTTTTACGTCTCATTCGAGAATTTTTCACTCATATAGAAACGTTACCATATACCGGTGAAGGGCTTCAAATTTTGACCTTTACTCGGCACTCAGGGCCATTGAACAGTGAGGGATCTTTATCGTGCCAACGCCTGCCATGACACTGAACTTCGGTTTTTAAGGTCTCATCCGATGGACACGCAACTTTCACTTCAAAGTGCCGAGCGCATGGCGAAGGAACAGTTGCTACCTATTTTTATCGACTTAGGTCAGTCGCGGCCGAGATTTGAACTCACGACCTCCCGATCACGGAGCGAGCGCTCTACCGACTTCTCAATTGTCTTGGTAGCTTAGTCGGTAAAGCGCTCGCGCTCCGTGATCAAGTCCCAATTGCGACAAACTTAAGTCCAGAAAATATGGGTAATAATTTTCTTCTTCCGCTTCTTGGCACTTTAAAGTGAAAGTTGCGGGTCAGTCCCGTCTCACGGTAGGAGTTGGCATACTAAAGAACCCTCACTGCTTAATGACCCCGAGTGCCGAGTAAAGGTTCGGACTTTGAAGCCCTTCACCGGTTTCTGGTGACTTTTCATATGATTGAAATAATCTGGCAAGGGAAGAAAAATTAACAGTCAATCAATTAATTCATCGTAGTTATCAATAGTGAATAGCCTCGCACATTTTGAAATTAGGTATTACCACGTGGTTATTCACATTTTCCATTATAAACTCTTGTACTTTATATATTGTACAGTTGCATTTCTTCACATTTTCCACTACTAATCGTAGAATGGGGAGGGTTAACGTAAACTGGCATTTATACCCATACGCATGTGTGTGCTTGCCTACCGCTTTTTGTGATGGGGCACTACCCTTTGCGCTGAATTAATTTATTGTTTTCTGTCTTTGAATCTTTATAACTATTGAGGCGTGACATTTGTTGATTAGTGACTCCATTGAACGTACATTATCTCGCGATAAAACTAACAAGTGTGACTAAAACGTCGATAAATGGGTTCTATTGGCTATTTTTATCTCCAAACACAGAAGATTGACTTAAGTATCGAACATATCAAGACAATAGCTTACTTGTTCGAGAAGACCATTTTAATTCATTCAGAGTAATTAGGTGCTCTGTTGATTTGAATTTTACCGGCACTTTCTTTTTTAAAAAAAGTTAAAGAGCATGACGAGTGCGTCGACATTTCAACCCTGACAACAATCTTAAAGGGGACACTGCCCTGAAACTCTAGACAGGAGATATCGGATCCCAGTTAACATGGTTCGACGTTCTACAGGCAAAATTTCCTTCAACAATTATTTTGTCTGTGTGGTTCCCTTATTCTGGAACGGATCTGTTTGGCGAGTATTAGGAATGAGGGCAGGGGAAGGAAGAGGGACTGGTAACTTTCTCAGTTTTACCAAAATTTTCAATAGGCTGCATGTTCAACTTAAGGATCCACAATACACAGCACATTGAAGAGTTCTAATTCTGTAGTATTTCATTTTCTTTAGTGAACAGAGGGTCCTTAAACTGCTATAAAGATTATGATTTTCCCCTGTATGATAGGTTCACGTTTGGGTCATGGGTTGATTATCAAGAATGTTTAACAAGATAACCATGGTAACAGACTTGTAAACAAACCTTGCTGTTTGAGCGATCACCGGCTATAATTGTGAGCGATGACTACAGGGCTGTCACATACACTAATGTCCACATATCATACTATTCCGTTATTATTAATAAAATTGTAATGAATAGATTGAAATTAGCGTCTTAGGCTGAAGGGTTTTTTTTGCATCAAATTTCAAAAATTAAGACAGCATTTAAAAGAAATTCTAACAATACATCCCGAGGACACACACATTAATGCCTGTATCTCAGGATTTAAGGATGGTCATTTTCTTTTGACAAAAAAAAAAAAAAAACAAAAAAAAAAAAAAAAACAAATCAAAAAAAAAAAAACAAACAAACAAAAAAAAGGAGGAAATAGTTCTGAGAGCGAAAAGTTTACCCTACTGATTTTTTTTTTCAGAGAAGCATATCTATTTATATATAGAAGAACCCTGATATTATAGAAATCCAAAATTACAATAATAAAGTTAAGGTCTGGTATATAGCATATAACGTCATGTTCAATATGTATCAACATGCCTGATTAGTGAATGTTCGAGATACCATGCTAGCATACAAGGCACACTTGTTACATTTCTTCATGTGGAATGCAATTTTCTTGTTAATATGGACGTTCACACATCAATATATTAATTGTACTTTTATCAATAAATAGACGCAAATCTTTAAAAATTTTGAAGTTTTGTTTGATGATTTTTAAAATTTGCAAGTTAATACAGTGTAATGACGTTAAAACTCCCATAGTGATGGAAGGAAATATCGAAAATGTTCATAAGCTAAGTTTTCACCTCCATCCATCCAACACCCTTCAACCCTTTTCCCCTACCTTGAATGGACTTCACCCAAATCCACCCCACCCCCTTCAACCCTTATCCCCTACCTTGAATGGACTTCACCCCAATCCACCCCAACCCCCTTCAACCCTTTTCCCCTAACTTGAATGGACTTCACCCCAATCCATCACCACCCCCTTCAACCCTTTTCCCCTACCTTGAATTGACTTCACCCCCATCCACCCCCACAACCTTCAACCCTTTTCACCTACCTTAAATGGACTTCACCCCAATCCACTCTAATCCTCCCCCTTCAACCCTTTTCACCTACCTTGAATGGAATTATCGAATGATGTCTGTTTTATTTTATTAAAAAAAGCACAGTGTTAGATTCCTAAACCTGGAACTTTTTGTAACATTTTTAAAACATTCTAAACATTTTTAGATCCGCCCCCTGGAAGTTTAAGCGTGGACATGTTACACTGTTATGTGAGTGGTTGTTTTAGAGCTTGTATATTGTCTAGAGAAGTGGTCAGCTAATGAAGAAGTGATTAATCATTTATAGCTGACAGGATTAGAGGCAAGGAAGTTAACAGGCGAGAGATCAGGACAATATTTTATCATAAACTCCATCAGGCATGCGAGAAAGAGACGTCAGAGAGAGAGAGAGAGAGAGAGAGAGAGAGAGAGAGAGAGAGAGCAGAATAAGAGATTTTTATCTGAATTTTATTTTATTTTTTAAATGAGATACTAAGAGGTAAACACACATTGTCAAGGTACGTGATATACATGTATGATACTCAAAATATGAGTTACACAAATAAACATCTGATAATGGGAGTTATGTGTTGATAATATATTTTTCAGTATATAATGCTTAATCTCATTATCCTTGACAATTAAAGACTGCTTCGATTGATTAAGAGAAAAAGGGGAAAACCTTGATTTTTACAGTTTTTTATATATCCTATAAAAAAGAAAAAAATATGAGTGATATATATTCGACATATGGTGTTGATAGTGTAGAATAAAGTTTATGTAGACTGAATTATCATGTTTAGATTTTGTTGTGGTTTGGTAAGCCACGTCTTAAGATTACATGATATAAACAGTGATACTATTTTTCTTTACTACACGTGAATCGGTCGACAATATTGCTGCGCCCTTATGCCCTGCGTCGTGGATTTATTTCATTCAAATAATCGTAGCTTTTACGTTTTGTGTAGTGGCGTTGGGTTTCGAAGAAGAAATATTTTCATGTTTGTTTGCTTTAAATCTTTATTTTAAATTCTCTTTAATTTTTTTTATTTTGGTCTGCGTTTAATGGAAATTGAAGAAGAGGAGAATTTCATTAAGGGGATATCGCTTTTTACCGCGTGTTTATTGTTGCAGTTGGTGGGGGAAATTACAAGGATTTTCGACAAGTGCGCTCTCATTGTGGAAGTAAATCGCTTTTATTGTTAATAAGTGGTTGACACACAAACAAGTGAACTGGTGTTTTTCTCCCCTTAATTACCCAGTTTCTTATAATAATCAAAAAATGGAAAATATAAGTGCAAGCATTTCTCTGAAGGAATATTCATAATCACTTGAAAAATGGAATCGTGACGCGTTCGTGCAGTATCATTTGTGTAAAATACTTGAACGTCTGAAGTGTGGCAGGATGATCTTTGTTCTTTTCACTAATTGATATATCTGTGTGGAAGAACTTTGGCAGTGTGTAAAAAAAATTCTCAGGGAAAATCCATGTCGTAAGTTTGAATGAAAACAATGAGAAATCTTTCAAACTCTGAATTTTTCCAGGAGGTGGGTTCCTTATTCCACAGCGAGGACCAACAGGAAGCCCTGACGAGGAAGGAGCTGGAATGTATAGGACTGATAGCAGCCGAAAAACACAATCAGACGCTACATAATGGTGAGTGTTTCAGTTACTCGCTGTGCGAGAGAGAGAGAGCAAGAGAGAGAGAGAGAGAGAGCGAGCTATGGGGGGGGGCAGAGAGAGAGGGGGAGACTGAGATCTAAAGAGTGAGGGGCAGAGTGTGAAAGAGAGAGGGACAGAGACAAACGGAGAGTTACAGACTGAGTTAGAGAACAGAAAGAGAGCGAGAGAGAAATGAGAGAGAGACAAATGAGAGAGAGAGAGAGAGACTAGATTCCAGCCGTAGCTTTATTAACAATTTGATTGATGAGGAGAGCTCGCTGATAACGGTGCATGCCGTTTTTTTCTGATGTGTTTTTAACGACTTGTCGATGTTTATCTTATTGTATGTACTTTTTATCTCTTTATTTACAAGTCCTATCAATATTCCTTATACATGTATGTATTTACATTTTTGCTTTCATAGATATTTAATATGTTTTGAAATAAGAAGTTTTTTTATATCGTAAAAAGACCGTATTTGACCTTTTATTGGTCACAATATTTACATACAAATATGCGTTATAATACCGTGAAATTCTAATCTTCATGAATTTTAAATTTTGCATTAAAACCTTTTTTCAAATTTAAAGAAAAAAATAAATTATACATGTAATAATCAATGACATAAGTACATGGACTAATCAATGCGATTTAGTGAATATCTATAGTACAATTCAGCTATCGTTAACATTGCTCTATATCTTATTTTTATGCGTAAAAGATATATATCTTTAGTCTTAATGCATTTACAATAATTGCATGTGACGAGTAGAAAATACGATAAAACGTGATAAAACTAAAACTTAATGACGGTTTGTTGGTCGTTCACCTTAACTGATACATTTTGTTGATACGAGCCGAATTCATCAACATATGAAATCCCCCCTCCTTATTTTCCCAGTTTGCGTTCACCCTTAGCATTGAGGCATTAGGAAAAGAAGGGAGGTTAAAACATATGCCTGTAATTTTACCCTCCTGTGTGTTATTTTAAAACACATTTAAGTGCTTTGATTTTTTTATGTAAAACTTTATATCTGCGGGCACATTTCTGAAATTCGTATTTCTTTCTTTTTTGGGGGGTGGGGTGGGGGGTGAAGATGGGTTATTGATCGAAAGCCAAGGGTTTCTACCAAATAAAAAAAAGCTATAGAAGCGGGGTCGGATTGAAAGTTATTGGAGGGCTAAAATTTAAAAATCAGTTATGATGTGGATTTTCTTTTTAAAACGCGATAATAGAAGCATCTATATCTATTTCATTAAATCTGGTACGTTATATTTTAAAAATACAATAATAAATTGGTTAAGTAAATATGATAAATATTTCTTCTGATTACAATTTACGTTTAAACGTCAAAAAGCTGGTATATCCCAGTACTAGCCAGTGGTCTTGCGCTACTGGACATCATGGCATTCGTACGTGTTGTAATGTTGGAACATTAATTGACATTATATGTCAACTATGTCACCGTGCGTGTTAAGTCAATAATTATATTAGGGCTATGTAAACAGTGCTAGTAAATAATGTGTTATCTGAATTAAAGGATAAACACAAATACTATTATACAGGGATCAGATATTAAATATTTTCTGTCGCTATCAAGTGTCCCCATTCTATTAGTATCAGCTTTTCAAATACGGTCACTGCGATTTTAATTAAATAGAGAGATTAAGATGCCCGACAAATCTTTTTTTCCGTAACGGGTTCGACATTTTTTTCTTTTGAAGATATATGTCTTTTTTAGAAAAGTAACTTTAGCAAATTCCTATAAAAAATATTTGTGCGATTAAACTATTCAAGACAAGCCGAGAACTTAAGGGGTACAATGCATGATAAGTCTGATTAAATCAAATCATGAAATAATTAGTTTGACGGGAGAGAGAGACTCACTGGTATTCCTATGTGTTTACAACTATTACAAACCCGCCCTGTACAGGACTGTTGGACAGATATACATTGTTTATGTTCATTTTCACGCCATTTCATCACCTTTTATGTGGTCAATGGGTCATAATAATAAACACGTGCATCTTAAGGACGTGCGTCCTTGCAGACTCTACGACGCCACATTATTAGAAATTAATACTCACTAAGACTGACAGATAATGAATATTTACTGGCTATATACATGAATCACAATAAAAATGTTGAGATTGATGATGTCGAATGGGAAAAAAAAAGATACTGGAAAGACAACTAAATTTACTGAGTTAATTTAAACGATCTATTTTTTTCCGGATAAAGTTGGCGATATGGTATTTTGTATAAGTAAATAAATACATGTAGATTTGTTTTTATTGATTCCCCCATAAATCAAAATTAATGGATTTATCACATTGCCGCTAAGTGATGCCTAGCATTATAGAATAACATCTCTGTCTAAAACTTTGCATCCTTACGAATGACCCGGTAAACTCTTTACCCTTTTTAACTGACTTGCAAATGAAATCAAAACATTTTACAATCTAGTACACAATTTACAATCTAGTACATTACAATCTAATACAATATACAATTAAGTGCGATTTAAAATCTAGTACAATTTACAATTTATTACAATTAATTAACAAATTTAATACAATTTACAATTTAGCGTAATTTACAATCTTAACAATTTACAACCTAGTGCAATTTACGATCCAGCAAAGTTTACACCCTATTCAGATTTACAAGTAGTACAATTTACAATTAAGTACGATTTACAATCTATTACCATTTACAATCTTGTACAATTTGTAATCTAGTACAATTTACAATCTAGCAAAGTTTACAATCTAGTAAAGTTTACAGTCTAGTACAATTTAAAATCTAGTTCATTGCAATCTAGGCCCACTTTCTTTTCTTTTTTCTGAAAATAGTCTTTGCTGTTAATATAATTGGGAAATTTACAGGCAGAGGCCCCCCATCTCGTTTTTGTTTATTCCCCACCACGATTTTCATTTTAGTAGAGCAAACGTATTTCATCAAGCACAGTCAAAGGTATATGCAAAGGTATATTGTTTGAATTTTTATTTTAATTCGGTGTCTTTAGGTGCTGATCTAAGTAATACAGTGATATTTATTGAAGTTATATGTTAGTTGTTAATAAGGAAAACATTACTCACAAGTTATTAAATGAATTGACTAATAATAAGCTAAGCCCTCCGCCGGATAAGACAGCTTAAGGTACATGTTAATTAGCATGGATTATTCAACATACAAGCATGACAAGGAAAGAAGCGAACCAATGACAATTGCTGCATTACGTACACTGAATGTTTTTAAAATTGGGACACAAGTTGAGGTCAATTGCAGGTCAATTGTGTCATGTTGTAATTGTACAGACATGCACTCATTGTTTCCCTCATGGCGGATCCAGAGATTTTCTTCTAGAATGGGTGAAGGGGTCAGTTTCAAGTCAAAATAAATTTTCCAACTCAAAACTTTTCCACCAAGCACGGGAAGAAAAAGAGAGAGGGGGGGGGAGAGACATCATATCAAGCACGGAGAGAGAGAGAGAGAGAGAGAGAGAGAGAGAGAGAGAGAGAGGGAGAGAGACATCATATCTGAGGAGGGATCTAAAGGATTTTTTCAGCCGAAGTAAATTTATTTGCACTGAAAACCTTGTGGTGGTAGGGGTGATTTCGGGGGGGGGGGGGGGCTTCGTGACAACCCCCAGTCGATCCGCTTATGTTGTAATTATCTGTTTTCAAAATATTCGAATATAATAACATGATTAATAAATCAGAAAACAAAGAACAACGAACAAAAATGCTCTTGTTGAAATGTATGTTTTTTGTATGTTGTATTTTAAGTGTTATGCAGTAAGTAGAATGAGTGTTTTGTGTTATATGTGGTATACAGTGGTGTATTGTATAGAGTACGGACTCTGTTTTTAGTACTAGCATTTATACTCCACATCCCTGACTTACTTTAATGTAAAATCAACTTTGAATGTTATCATAGCAGGCATCTAAATGGATAATAATTTACATGCAAAATGGTCCATTATGTTCGGTACAAAAGGCAAAAAAGGACCTTTAAAATAATTACATATGTAGATGTAACGGGTTTCAAAAACAATCTTTTTTTGATATTTTGAATTCTTTAATTTCTACGAAAGCCTATTAGGATCAAACTACGGTAAAAAAAATTTAAAAGGCGTTATAACGCCTTTTGAAAAGGCGTTATAACGCGGAAAAAGGCGTAGTAACGCAAATAAAGGCGTAATTACGCCTTTCCAAAAGGCGTTATAACGCGAAAAAAGGCGTTATTACGCCTTTCCAAGAGGCGTTATTACGCCTTTCCAAAAAGCGTTATTACGCCTTTCCAAAAGGCGTTATTACGCCTTTCTAAAAGGCGTTATTACGCCTTTCCAAAAGGCGTTATTACGCCTTTCCAAAAGGCGTTATTACGCCTTTCCAAAAGGCGTTATTACGCCTTCCATCTCGCAGACAGTTGTTTGCATTTTGCATGCATATTAGGAGAAGTCAACACTCTACTTTTGAAAATCCAGGATATAGGCAGAACCAGCTTTGGGCTTTGCTAGCCACGTATTAAAAATTCATGCCAAATATGAAATATTTTTCTCTCTTCTTGGTAAAAAACAGGCAAAGTATTTGCATAGGTATAATGAGCAATTAGCCTTCAACAAATTTTCTGAAATCCATACACCTTGGTAGAAGCGTCTGGCATCAGAGAAGGACTAAGTTGGTTTAACACTGAAAATATTTTACACATTTAAAAATCTTTTTTCCTAGAAATCTAATTATAATCAGCCCCCAGGGTGGGCTAAGTAAGTCATGTATTGAAAAAAAAGAGGCGTAATAACGCCTTTTTAAAAGGCGTAATAACGCCTTTTGGAAAGGCGTAATAAAACCTTTTGGAAAGGCATAATAACACCTTTTGGAAAGGCGTTATTACGCCTTTTAGAAAGGCGTAATAACGCCTTTTAGAAAGGCGTTATAACGCCTTTTGGAAAGGCGTAATAACGCCTTTTGGAAAGGCGTAATAACGC